TCAGCTCTGGGCGTCCCCAGCTGAAGTTCCCTTAGGTTCCTCGGAGGCCTTGTCAAGACGGTGTAAAGGGACATGAGGATAGGTTTCAGTCGTCTGGGTAAGGGATAATCGGGAAGGGGCACTGTGATTGAAATCTGTTCCTTGAAACAAACTTTATTGAATTTGTAAGATGTCTTACAAGTATGGACACTATTGACTTATACATAGAATTTATGCAACTGGTCAATGTTCCAAGAATTTGCTAACTCACGACCATCGCCGTCTGCAATCTTGAATGCGCCTGGCCGCAAGACTTGTGTGATCGTGTACGGTCCTTCCCATTTGGGCGAGAGTTTGTTTCGCCCTGCCTGGCTTTGAACTCGTCGGAGGACGTAGTCGCCGATCGAAAGTATGCGTGCTCGGATGCGCTTCTCGTGATATCGGCGGAGGGCCTGTTGGTAGCTAGCTGCTCTTGCGGCGACCTGTTCTCGATATTCCTCGAGTAGGTTCACGTCATCGTTTCGCTGTTCCTCCTGATCCTCATCGGAGTGCTTCTGTACTCGTGTACTCTGATGTCGTAACTCGGTAGGGAGCATGGCCTCTGAGCCGTACACGAGGAAGAAGGGTGTCTCCTTGTTGGACGTTGTCGGTGTGGTGCGCATGGCCCATAGTACCGAGGGGAGTTCTTCGACCCACTTCTTGTCATGTGACATGAGCCTGCCGTAGATACGGGTCTTGATCCCTTGTAGTACTATGCCGTTTGCCCTTTCGACCTATCCATTACTCTGAGGGTGAGAAACCGAGGCGAAGCATATCTTGACTCCCAGTCCGATGCAATAATCTTGAAAATCGGCGCTGATGAATTAGGAGCCGTTATCCGTTATGATGCGGTGAGGCAATCCATATCGGCAAAATATCCCCTTAATGAACTTGATGGCGTTGTCGGCCTTGATTTCTCCCGTGGGTGTTGCCTCGATCCATTTGGTGAATTTGTCGATCGCCACGAACAGGAAACTGTAGCCGCCCTGTCCTCGTGGGAATGGACCGAGTATGTCGAGCCCCCAGCATGAGAACGGCCAAGTGAGAGGGATGGTTTGTAGTGCTTGCGCTGGTAGCTTTATGTGTTTGCTGTGAAATTGACAAGCTTCACACCTTTGTACCATGTCGCAAGCGTCTTTAAGGGCGGTTGGCCAGAAAAATCCTTGTCGAAAGGCTTTTCCGACCAATGTACGACCGGCGGCATGTGACCCGCAGACCCCTTCGTGTATGTCGAGGAGGAGGTGCTTGCTGTCGTCGGACGAGACGCATTTTAGAAGTACCCCGTTCGGTGCCTTCTTATATAAATCATTGCTGATCATACAGTAGATTTTTGCTTGACGGGTTATTTTCTCGGCTTCTGCGTCGTCTTGGGGCAACTCGTCTCTGTTTATGAATTTAATGAGTGGGGTCCGCCAGTCGTCCGTGGTCTCGATGTCGACAACGGCGCATTCTGCCTTTGTAGCCCCCGGGCTGATGTCGGGGGTTACTGGGCTATCTTCATTGTTTGCCTCTTTCACTGATGGTTTTGTCAGGATGTCCAGAAAGGTGCCGGGTTCGAGTGGTTCTCGTCTAGACGCACACCATGCTAGATCGTCCGGCTCGATGTTGTCCTTGCGATATACGTGTCGGACCTCGATCCCATCAAATCTTTTTTCCAGCTTCCTGACTTCTGCGAGATACTTGGACAGCTCAGGGCTAGAGCATTTGTAATCTTTGTGCACCTGGTTTGCGACTAGTTCGGAGTCCCCTTTCACGATCAGTCGCTTGACCCCAAGTATGGCTGCAGCTCTCATCCCAGCGAGTAGTCCTTCGTACTCGGCTGTGTTGTTGGTTGCCCTGAAGTTGAGGTGAATTGCATGCTTGAACTGATCTCCTGAAGGTGATGTCAAGATGAACCCCGCACCTGCTCCTTGGCTGTTGAGCGCGCCATCGAACGCCATTGTCCATGTTTCGTTGTCGATATGACTATCTGACCTGTTTTCAGGCATAGTCCAATCGGCTACGAAATCGGCGAGAACCTAAGACTTGATGGTTGTTCGTGGTACAAAGTGGACGTCAAACTGGCTTAGCTCGACTACCCATTTCGCAATACGGCCGACAACGTCTTTGTTTCTCACGACCTTGCCAAGAAGGAAGGCGGAGACAACTGTGACCTTGTGGGCTTGGAAGTAGTGGCGTAGCTTTCTTGACGTCATGATTACTGCGTAGAGCAGTTTTTGGATCTGTGGGTACCTTGTCTTTGCGTCGTGTAGAGCTTCGCTGACGTAATAGACTGGTCTCTGCACCTTTTCTCTTTCGACAACAATGACAGTACTCACAGAGTAGGGCGTAGCAGCAATATAGAGGAACAATTCTTCATTAGGTTGGGGAGAAACAAGTACAGGGGGATTTGACAAGTAGCGCTTGAGTGCGATGAACGCCTCTTCGGCTTCTTGTGTCCATACAAATTTGTCTTGCTTTTTTAGCAGTGCGAAGAAAGGTTGTCCTCGTTCTCCCATCCTAGCGACGAACCTACTTAGCGCCGCCATGCATCCGGTTAGCTTCTGTACGTCCTTGAGCCTTGTGGGCGACTTCATGTTCTTGATTGCCTTGATCTTCTCGGGATTTGCTTCTATTCCTCTGCCAGAGACGAGGAATCCGAGCAGTTTGCCCGACAGTACCCCGAACGTGCACTTTTCAGCATTGAGCATGAGGCGATATCGTCTGAGGTTGTCGAAGGTTTCCCGTAGATCGTCAATCAATGAGTCGCCTGTCTTGGTTTTGACAACAATGTCATCGACGTAGGCCTCAACATTGTTACCCAACTGATCGCTAAGTGCCCCTTGGACCGTGCACTGGAAAGTGTTCCCTACGGTTATGAGTCCAAACGGTATTTTGACGTAGCAGAATACACCGAACGGTGTGATGAATGCTGTCTTCTCCTCGTCCTCTTTTGCCATGCTGATTTGGTGGTAGCCGGAGTAAGCATCAGGGAAGCTTAACAGCTCACAACCAGCTGTTGAGTCCACCAGTTGGTCTATTTGAGGAAGAGGGAAGTGATCCTTGGGGCACGCCTAGTTGAGGTCAGTGAAGTCGACGCACATCCTCCACTTCCTGTTGGCCTTCCACACCATGAATGGGTTGGCTAGCCACTCTGGATGGAGTACCTCTCTGATGAAACCAGCCTTAAGAAGTTTATCGAGCTCTTCTCGTATGGCATGTTTCCGATCTGGTGCAAATCTCCGCAGTTTTTGCTTTACTAGCTTGGCATCGGGTCGCACCATAAGTTTGTGCTCAATCACCTCCCTGGGGACCCCCGGCATGTCGGACGGCTGCCAAGCGAATACGTCCGCATTGTCGCGGAGGAAGGTGATGAGCGCGAGTTCCTATTTCTCGTTCAGTGATGCCCCGATCTTGACCGTCTTGTCGGGGTTGGCACTAGAGAGTGGGACGATTTTGATTGCGCCGTCTGGTTTCGGCGTCTTAGTCGTTTTGATCACTTTCTTGGGTGGCTCGGCTGTGGTGGGTGGGCTGGGAGTGTGCTCGACCATGTCGAGGCTCCGCTTGTCGCATTGGACCGCCAGCTTTGCGTTCCCTTGGATAGTGATTGTTCCCTTCGGCCCGGGCATCTTAAGTACCTGATACGCGTAGTGAGATGTGGCCATGAACTTCGCGAGTGCCGTTCTTCCAATGATGGCGTTGTATGCTGTGTCGAATTCAGCAACATCAAATGTTATCTGCTCCGTTCGGAAGTTGCTTGCTTGGCCGAAAGTCACTGGGAGCATAATCTTGCCCAATGGCTTGGACGAAGATTGAGGGGTGATTCCATGGAAGGGTTAATCAGTAGGTGTCAACTCGCTTCGTGGAATTCCCATTGCGTCCAAAGTGCTGGTGAAGAGAAGATTGATGGAGCTGCCGCCATCGACGAGGACTCGCGCTACTTTGATATTCCGAATAGTGGGTTCGACCACGATCGGATATCGTCCTGCTATAACAGCAGCCTTGGGGTGGTCTTCATTTGAGAACTCAATCTTCTGTTCAGCCCACTTCATCTTGGGTTGAAGAGTACGTTGTGGAACCTCCGAAGACCCCCTGCCATGTCGAACAAACCTCACGCTCCACTTTTTTGTATTCTCGCTTTGAAGAGTACGTTGTGGAACCTCCGAAGATGTGCGAGACATGAAGATCGGAATCTGGGTACGCGGAGTCCGAGTCCTGAGTAGTTGTCTCAGTTGCCTTCTTGACTACACGTACTCGCTTACCCTTCTCCAAAGCCAGCTGCCTTTCCAACGATTTTTTGAAGATGAGGCACTCCTCCAGAGAATGTCTGTCCGACTTGTGTATGGGGCACCATATTCTCTTTGTATCACCGTCCTGTGGGTCTGGGTGTTTGGGCGGGCGCTCGTATTCAGATGCAAGGACTTCTGCTTGAGCTTTCCTCTTCCCACTCTTGCCGCTTTTCTTCTTGCTTGATTCGGGTGCGTCCTTGGCTGGCTTCTTCTCTCCTCCCGCCTTTGGTTTGTCGTTTTTGCGTCTCAGCGCATCGTCTGCGTGGGCACATCAATCGACAACCTCGAACAACCTTCGAGTAGTAGTGATTCGCCTTGTTGCCAACTCCTGGGTAGTATAGCGATCTCTGACACCTGTTTTGAAAGCGCGGATCACAGAAGCATCGGTGATATCGGAGATCGTATTTCTGCACTCATTAAAGCGCCGAACATAGTCCCTCAAAGATTCACCCTAATTCTGTGTTAACACGTGTAAATCATCTTCGATCGCGTGGCGCTTGTAAGTTCCCTAGAAGTTCGCGACGAATTGTTGCCACAAATCTGCCCATGAAGAGATCGAGTAAGGTGGGAGGTGCATCAGCCACGAACGCGCAGAACCTTTCAACTCCGTTGGCAAATAGTTTGCTAACGCGTTGTCGTCTGCCCCAACAGCGTATAGTACCGTGGAGTAGACTTGGAGGAATTCCTCAGGGTCAGTACTTCCATCGTACTGCTCTATTGCTCCGGGTCAGAATCTCTCGGGCCATCGGACATCACGTAGAGAACGGTTGAAAGCTCTACACCCAGCGCTGGGGGCAGCGGGTTGTTGGCGATCGTGTGTCCTCCGTGGACGTTTATCGGATGACGAAGACGAAGATGATGATGACGATGACGACGATGACTCACTCGACTCCGGCGTGCGATTCCGAGGGCGACGTTCAGGTTCTCGAGAAATCTGTCATCGTCCACCATTGTTGTCCTGACGCCGGTCACCATTATCATCTTCTTCATGTCGATGCCCTCGACCATCATCTTCTGGTGTCCGCTGTTCACGGTTATCGCGATCGCGGCGGTTATGACGATCACGGTGATGTTGGTCCTCGTTCGAGCGGCCTCCTCGCTCCTCGTTCTCGCGACGTCGTGAGGAAACACGATGTCGGGAACAATTCTCGTTGTCTCGTGCGCGTCATGCTTCTCGACGGCCGTTCAGATGGTCGCGGAGATCGCCGGTGCCGCGAGGTGGAGGGGTAGCTCGTGCAGGCTACGTCCGCTACTCCGGTGGTTCACCGTCGGCACCGCCAGCTGTTGGTCGTTCCGGTTGTGCTCTGGTAGTAGCTTCCTCGAATGCGTTACTGAGATTGGCCACCGATTCCCGTAGTCGTTCCGTCCATCGTGCGAGGTCATCGTTAAGCACGGGGTCATAGGGTGCTTCTCTCAATATTGCATTAACGGTGCCGAAATGTTGGGCTGGCGTGGCCGTCTGGTTCTCCGCCTCTGCGTTAGCCTGTTCATACGTGCTAGTTCCACCGATGGCAAACACGTCGCGTGGTGTACTGGAAGATGACGAGCCATAGTCTTCAAGCAAGTGAAGGACTGATGGTTCGCGGGCACTACTGGAGAAACGACTATTAATGACCGGAAATTTGGTCGTTAAAAGTCCAAATGTGGTCGTTAAAGGTCATTAACGACTACAGAAGTGTGGTCGTCAGTGGTCGTTAAAGGCTTTGTCGTTAAAAGTATTAACGACCGACCGATTTTTTTCCAGTCGTTAATTTTATTAACGACGGTGTTCTTCTGCCATCGTTGTTTTCATTAACGACGGTGATATCCTGCCATCGTTAATCTCATTAACGACCGTGATAATATGCCATCGTTTTTCATTTTTCTTTTAACGATCGTGCTTTTCCGTCGTCGCTATTTTTATTAACGACCGTGAAACTATACCATTGTTATTTTATAGACTACCGAGAAACTGTAGCCTCCTAATTTTTTTAGTGACCATGATAATGCATCATATAATTATTCACGATGGCATAATGTGTTACCATTAGCAATACATCAATAACACTCACGGATCAGTTTAAACAACCACACCTTGTAATATATTGATTCCCACATTTGTCTAACAGCACAACGAATATAACATTGAGTTGTCCTGTAGCAGCCACGTGTTTACTCGGTGCAAATACAAAATAATAATGTTCACTGCATCCAACTAGATAAATTATTCAGACAGCACCAACATGATGCCTAATTAAACAATCACTAGAACTTATGGTGAACAAAATTTCAATCTGAAATTGGAATTGCAATGGACTATTCCTTCATGTTTTACGAGGAATCAACCCTTCATCAGCAGGTACCATCTTCATTTGCATCATAGTCATCTCTTTCACTGTGGATCCTGCCATGAGCACATATATATTAGATACGCAAGTTAATGAGTACTATATTTCACATATCATATATGAAAGTCATTTTAGGTGCATGAATTTACCTCTCATGACGTCTTTGTGAGCCAGTGTCACTTCTATTTTCACAGTTAGCATAATAGTCTCTCCTCATCTCAGCCCATTCATTCTGCATTTGATTTACAGACTCAACAACCTGACTATTTTCTTCTCGAAGCATTTTGTTTTCCCTCTCTGTTGCTCGAAGTCTAGCATGCAATTCAGCTTTGCTAAGTGCTGGGCCTCGTACATCTCTTGCTTTGACACCACCACCAAATCCAATTAAATGATCACGCCGCTTATTACCGTTGTAACATTTATCCATAACTTCAACATTGGAGAGATTAGGATCTGAGCTAACTACATCCACAAGTTCTGCCTGAAATGAACCAATAATAGTGTTGGACAAATGCTACTGTCAATACCAACTAGAAACCATAATGAAACTATGCATTATCTAAGAGGCGTTCACAGGATAGTTATTCTGCACAAAACCTGAATCTTACATGCATCCTAGAAGATTCAACATCCACCAAAGTGTCTCCCTTCTTGCGAGTCTCAAAGAATAACTCATCCAAAGTTGGTGGTCTGTTTTCCTTTCCTCCCTATTCGAGCAGAGAAATGTATATAGTAGAAAACAAGTGTGATTTAATGAAAAATTATGTACATAATTCTTTTATTTATACCATATTGTAGATTATCTCTTTGAAGGGTTTGCTTCCAGTGCGATGAGGCATTTTTAAGCCTGCTCTGTTCCGAGAGTTTCTAAGGCTCATTGCCTGTATTTAGTTAACAAACGGACTCATTTTGGGCAAATATAAGTCAAGTAAAATGCATAGAACATACTGGAAAAAGAGGGGACATCATCACTTACAATAAAATCTTTGCTATAAAAATGCTCCTGGACAAGCCATTGCCAATCAGATGGGTCAAAATCCTTTGGCTTATTTTTTGTAGCCTGCTGCATAGTTTTTGCCGGTTTCACAAAATGTCGATGCAAATCTCCACGCCAGTTAATCCAAAGAGACTTGGCATGTTCCATTATCTCATCTTTGTATACATCAATTTTAATATCTGGATCTTCATTTTCAAACTTGTCCTGCAAAATTATAAAAACAAATGATTCAGTGCAAGCATAGTTTTATTGAAAACAAGAGAGAACATTTCATAGGAAGACAGATGCGTACTGTAATCGAGGCAAATATGTGTTCCTGCTCTGTGTTACTAATGTCTGACCATTTCTTCACTTTGACCGGAGTAATGTTCCGATCACGAACAATTCTACCCAGATGACGTGACAAACTATTCGAAAGAGCACGATTGTTGTAAAACTCAACTTTAATTTTTTGGTTCTCCTTGAGTTTGGCAACTTCCTTACATTTGTTCTTGCCATGGCCCTTGTGCTGAACCATTTTAGTACCTGGCAAATTAGATAAACATAAAAATATGAACTCTAGATATGAATTAAACAAATGATAGTTGAATTATCGTGCATACCATTTTGTAAGGTACCATTCAAACTCTGCACCTGGACTCGTTCAATTACATCTTGCTCAGTATCTAACAGATATGTCAAGAAAACAACTATTATAGTAAATTTATTTATTGAATGGAAAAACTTGTATTGAATGTTTTAATATACCTTGTTCTGTATCTTGCAAATTAGGTTGAGTAGAACGTCTTCTCTTTGCAGCAAGGATACTGTTATGTGCATCATCCGAAGCATGGGATCCATTATTGCTATTACTAATATCTACATGACACAACAAATTGATACGAGGACAAAATAAGTAACTTAACAATATTTCATTTTGTTACTAGTTTACTCCTTGAGACGATGCAGTCCTCACATTTGTTTTTGCCACAGCTACTGCGCTTAACTGATTGAGAACCTAAAACAATTGAAAAACAAATTATACTAAGTACTTTATGTAGAAAATAAAATAAATTCTTGTCGTACCATCACTTGGAGCACGTGAATTAGTTTGCGGACGAAGTCTTCTTTTAGCAGCTTGATTACTATTATGTACGCCATCCTCTTCGGTGGTATCATCATTTGCATCGCCCATGTCTACAATACATGTTAATGCTGTTGATATAAAAATATATATGGCATAAGTAGAGTAGATATTGAGAGGGGAATATTCTAACTTTTGGAATTGTTATATTCCCTAGCTCTCCGAAGCCATGTGTCTATTGACTCTTCGTCTGAATCATCCTCCTCTCCTAAGAAAACAAGAAATTAGTTTTAATAAGCATACTAGCTAGCTATTTGTTCAATATTATCAGAAAAGAAGCATATTAATTCTATTGTTACTTGGTAAATATTATTTAATTTTGAATATACATTCATGAAGGATAATTACCAGGTTGTGGCACAGCAGTGTGTTTCTGGTACTTTAGATTGCTCTGCCTTACATAGACAGGCTTGCTCTTTCCTTCTTGCACAATAGCTGTAGCTGACACCATGTTCTCTGGTGACCCAAATAAATCATCAGCTGTTGAAGGTGCTGTCCGTCTTGCAACTTGTTGCTGAAGTAGTCCAGGACTAATGAACTTCGAGTTGTTGTTTTGTAGTGCAGACACTCTATTTCTTCCATACCTTCCAGAAATCATCACAACAACCTACAAGGCTACACTAGTGTTAAAATAATTAACAATTGTTATCTGATAGCGATCAAAAGATAAAATAAAATGTTTATGTTTTATCAATAAAATTTGAAATGATAAAAGGAAATTATCATTATTATGGATCAATATAATTGTCAGATAAGAACACAGAAGGACTGCGAATGTTCCATCTTTATGCAAACAAGGAATGTAAGGACAAGCATCATCATGGTTTTCTCTTTCTTTTTAGTGATGCTGAGGGAGAATCATCTAGTATGTCTTCTTCATTGCCATCATCTTGCTCAACTTCAGTGCTTTCGTCATCTGATTCTCCTGCTGGTACTTGGTAAGTGTCACGTGGTTGCATTTTCTCAATCAAGTGCCAACCTTTGATCTGATTGTCTTTCACAAAAAATACTTGAGCAGCTTGACTAGCTAAAACAAATGGCTCGTCTGTTTGAAGCAACCGCTGTAGGTTAACACTAGTAAGCCCATATTTATCTATCCGTATTCCACGGTCTTTATTAAATACATCAACCCAGTTGCAGCGAAATAACGGCACCCTCCTTCCACCTAAGTACTGAATCTCAAGTATTTCTGTCAAAACTCCATAATATTCCACATCATCACCAAGAACCATCACACCACTGTTTTGTGTACACCTGCGGCTGTCCCGTCTTTCTGTGCGATATCTGAACCCATTCATGTCATATCCAGTAAAGCATGTTATATTCTTCAGCGGACCACGCGACAATGACAAAAGGTCTTCCATGACCTCACTCTTATCATGCTGGTGCTGCTGATATATCTACAGGGCAAAAAGATTAAAAAAAATAACATCAACAAATATACATATTTGAAACGGTTTATTCCATATATGTAATTATATAAATATTACCTTCTCTTTAAACCAGTTGATGAATTTTTTGTTCCATGTTGAGGTAAATTGTACCATTGAAGAACCCTCTGTACTGTTGCAGTACTCACTGCAACATTTTAAATTAGAAATTACATAAGCTTGTGAAATGAATCGTAAGAAACATGACATAAATAAGTGCCATTTTTATCAAGGGATACCTGATATATTCTTGGACTTCATCGCAATTCCGCAGAATATAAATATGAGCTTGTTCTGATTCAAGCATATCAAGATCTCGAGTTTTACGAGAACCAATGGGCCTTCCAGCACAGGAGAAGATTGATAAATTAAATTTGTTACCAATAGATGTGTCATGTATTCTTCCTGGACGATTGTGTTTTGTCTCGACATCATCCAAGTACCTAGAGCTTAATGTCATAAACTCATCTGCAATGTATCCCTCAGCAATTGAACCCTCTGGGCGAGCCATATTCTGAACTAGTGATTTTAGGCAGTGAATTTGTCTCTCAAATAAATACATCCATCGATAGATGGTTGGTCCACCAATTAGAGCTTCTCTAGCCAAATGAACAGGCAAATGCATCATGACATCAAAGAAGGATGGTGGAAATTCCTTTTCAAGCTTACAAAGAATTATTGGTATTTGAGCATCCATTTCTTCAAGCTGTTCAACTGACAATGCCTTCGAATTTAATTTCTTAAAGAACTGGGATAGCTCCACAAGTGGTTCATAAATATTTTCAGGGAGCAGTCCACGCAGAGCAAGAGGGAGTATACGATTTAAAATAACATGACAGTCATGGCTCTTCAATCCTGACATTTTCCGCTCTTTCATATTAACGCAACGACTTATATTTGAAGAAAATCCATCAGGAACTTTCAATTCTTTAAAAAAACTAAGCAGTGCTTTTTTTTTTGGTCTGGAGATAACGTGTAAGGCGTAGGTGGCAAAACCACCTTTCCTCCATCATCTACTGGATGCAAGTCTGGCCTCAGGTTCATGAGTTTTAAGTCACTACGGGTATTAATATTGTCCTTGGTCTTCCCTTTGACATTCATTAGTGTTCCAATAATGCTATCACATATATTTTTTTCTATATGCATCACATCAAGATTATGACGTAGCAATAGAGTTTTAAAATATGGTAACTCAAAAAAAATGCTCCTTTTCTTCCAGTTATCTCCCCTATCACTGCGTGATACTTTTGTCTTCTTACTCATATCCTTTGACAATATAATTCCCTGTAAATCCTGCACTTGCTTGAGCACATCATCTCCGGATAACTCCTTTGGTGGTTCTCGGCTCTCTTTTGTACCATCAAAAGAAGTTCTGTCATTTCTCCATCTGTGGCTTCTGCGAAGAAAGCGCCGATGACCCATGTAGCAAAACTTCCGACCTTTCTTAAGCCACATTGAATTTGTTTCTTTATGACAAACTGGACATGCCAACTTTCCCTTTGTGCTATGGCCTGATATATTTCCATAAGCAGGGAAGTCATGCACTGTCCAAAGAAGAGCTGTGCACGTAGCTTGAAATTTGTCTTGGTTGATGAATCATATGTGTCAACTCCATCTTCCCAAAGTTCTATCAGTTCCTCTATCAATGGTTGCAGATAAACATCGATTGCATCCCCAGGACCATCAGGTCCTGGTAGTAGCATTGACAACATTACATTTTGTTGCTTCATGCACATCCAAGGAGGCAAATTAAGAGGAACAAGGAATACAGGCCAGATGGAATAGGAGGTTCGCATGTTAGCAAACGGCTGAAACCTATCGCTAGCAAGACAAAGCCTCACATTCCGAGGTTCAGATGCAAATGATGAATGGATTTTATCAAACTCCTTCCATGCTTTTGAATCAGCAGGATGTCGCATAACTCCATCATCAACCCTACACTCTTTGTGCCACTTAGCATATGCGGCCGTTTTCCTACACATAAATAACCTCTGCAATCTAGGTTTTATAGGAAAGTACCGCATAGTTTTATGTGGAATCTTCTTCCCAGCTGAAGAGTGCTTAATTTCCCCTGTGTGTTTTTCTTCTTTCCACCTAGATGATCCACATACCTTGCAGGATTCAGCATCTATATCTTCTTTCCAGTACAGCATGCAATCATTCTTGCAAGCATCAATTTTTATGTAACTTAGTCCTAGTTCACGAATAGTTTTTTTTGCTTCATAATAAGAATTTGGCAGTGTAGAGTCATGAGGTAGAAAGTCCTTGCGCAGCAATTCCAACAATGCGGTGAAGGACTTATTACTCCATTTCCCCAAATTCTTAACATGAAGCAAATTAACTAAGGCAGATAATTTAGAGGTTCTGGACCCTTCATACAGTGGTTGGTTGTATTTGTCAAGCAAAGCATAGAACTTGGCCGCATCAGTGTTTGGCTCCTCTTCAGGTCCCTGATCAGTAGATTCATGTGTCGCTTCGTCTCCACCAGGGGTGTTGCACTGAGGAAATAAATTTTCCATCAGGTCTTGCATTCCATTATATCCTTCCCCATTAAATTCCTGTGAATCATACTCATCAACTTCTATGTCATTCTCTTGTTCTGCTAAGACTTCACCATGATGGTACCAAAATGTGTAGCTCCTCAGTATTCCATACGCTTTCAGGTGAGAAGACACTATGTGACGAGGCAAAGAATATGTATTGCAGCACTTGATGCATGGGCAACGTATAACCTGGACACCATCTAATTTACTGAATGCATAATCTATGAACTTCTCTACACCCTCTAAGTACTCGTGATTTAGCCGATCATCCACAAGGCCCATCCATGCCTTGCTTGGAGCCATCCCCTCTAATTGCTAGTTGATATTAAGTTTTATATAACCCTGTATATATAATTAATGTCAAAGAAGAGTTACAATACACTGTTAGGTAAAATGTCAAGACTAGATAGATATCATATAAATTATTATTTGGCAATATGATTAATTGCACTGCATTCTGTTTTTAGTTGACTATAGATGAAATAATTCATACACAAAAAAAAGTGACAGCCCAGCGCTATAAAATATGTTTGATTCAAAAAACAACAATTCAGAAATGTCTAACAAATGCGGACATGCAACAGATTGATTAAGGATAGAATCCAAACATCATGGATTGATTAAGGATAGAGGACAGGCACCAGATTAGAAACGACATGATTTCAATGCAAAGGGAGAAGTAGTGACCTGTAGTAGAACTTTCTAGGGTTTGATTGAAGAAGCACTCGGACGGGAACCACCGGATCAGTAGCGCGATGAGGCCGCGCGGCACGGTGCCGCACTGGAGAAGTAGAGGATCAGCCGATCGGCACCAATGATTAGCGCTCCATCTGTGGTTCTCTCAATCTGGTGAGGGAGGGGATGTGAGAGGGGAGAAGATATTGGGTCTATTATGAATGGAGGAGGAGATATGTACATGGACATATGCCTAAAACTCCTCCTTTGAGCGCCAAAAAAAAATAAAAAAGGTATGTAATCACCCGCCATAATTTTTTCCATGCATCTGAAATTTTTTTAAAAAGCCACAACTTATTTTCTTTAATGTCCCTGATGTGAAACTGTACTAATAATTTTTTTAGACTCATTTTTTTCATAATCTCACAACACATTTTCTCTGTTCTTTTTAACTCAAAATTCATTTACAATATATATTATTTTAGTACAATATATTTTATTGTGTTTATTCAAAGTTTTATGCAATATATAATGGTTGTCTTCTTCTATTGTAATAATCTTGTTGGAACAGTCAATCCTCTAACACCTAATGGCTTCTTGAACTATGCCGATATACCCGATGGCGTTGGATCGGTTATGACCTTGTACGAAGGAGTAAACTTTGTAACTATACTCATTTTTGTCATAATCGGACAATACATTTTCTCTGTTCTCTTTTACCTTAAAATTCATTTACAATATACACTATTTTAGTACAATATATTTCACGGCATATATTTTATTGTCTTTTTTGAAAGAAATATAATGGTTGTTTTCTTCTACTATAATTACTAGTTTGAACGGTCGATCCTCTAACGCCTAATGCCTTGATGAACTATGCCGAATATACACCCGATGGTGTTGGATCGGTTATGACCTTATACGAAAGAGTACACTTTTATAACTAGACGACAGTGTTGGATTGGTTGTCTAAACCTCTTAACCCAAGAACAAAGATACGCAGGATAGCGACAAATCCATAAACTATACTAAATTTGGTGTTAACATTGTAATTAATAAAAAATATCTTGTTCACATAGCATGATTTTGGAACATATAGTAGATGTATTTTAAAAAAAAACGTATGGAAAAGAAAGTAAAATCATTAGAAAAACTTTTGTTCAGGGGACTCGAACCCAGCACCAGCACCTTTCTAACTTAAGGTACAACACAATATCCAACTGGGAAAAGCTAGTTTGATGTTTATTTTATTGTATTGCTACTTTATACATATACTAACTGAAATAAAAGGATGACCAGAAAATCGAACACATCATGTTTAGAGCAGAAAAAAAAGGTAAGATGCATTTTCTGAGCTGTAAAGCATAGCTCATGTACAAAAATATTTCGATGTTATGCTTACAGATTTACAGGCTTACAGCATTAGCATACCCTTGAAATACACATAGCAGTGTACAGGCTGCACTTAAATCATGTACAACTTCCTTGAACAAATCGAGCACCCTTCATCTAGACCTGTACTTGAATACTTTACAACTTTGTTGAACAAATCATATTGCACTGTACAATGGATACAAAGTTTAAAAGGGATAGAACAAACAAATCATTGGCAGAGTCCCAGTCCCTGTGGTGTCTAGCATAACTTAAAGTTCCAGTTGAAGTGAAACTTTCAGACTGTATATTGTCCAGCAAAGTACTATCTTACTGCTGCAGAGAATGATACTATAAACTGAAACAAGAATGCACATAGTGAACATAGATCAATCAAGTCAGACCCCACAATAAGACAATATATAGTCTTCATTGAAGATACTAAAGTGATAGCAGAGTTACAGATGCATGAGTTATTCTTTGCTAACAAATAACTGGCCATGAACTGGATGCTGATCGAATTTATATATTATCTATCTAACTGAATTTACTTTTTTCTTAGAGTAAAATACAAAGGGACATAAATTTTCAAAAATTCATCTCTAATCTCTTCAAGTGATTTTTCATAACGAGCTTCAGCTTCTTTTCTTTCCAAGGCATTTGCCTCATCTCTAGCGAAGATTAATGCACCCTTTTCATATTCTGCCTTCAAGTATTCATCTTCATCACTCTCTTCCATGGTGTATGTTACCAAGGAGTCTTCTACAACCTGCTGGTCCATGATGTCTGCTCCCACTTGCTGATCCATGGTGTCCTCAACAACTAAAGCTAAGGAGTACCAACCCATATGGTCATCTTCATTAATCTCTTTCTCTTTCATGGTGTCTTCAACAACATTTGCCATCAAATTAACCTTGGAGTCTCTAAGTAATTCCTTTGGTTCATCTTCCTTTACAACTTGGTACATCTTGTCCTCGACAGCATCACCCATAGTGTCCTCAACAACTGAAACAAAGGAGTAGCTATGGTCTTTGGACCCAACTGAATCCAAGGAGAAGCTATGGTCTTCAGACCCTTCAATTGAAGTATGTATAGAGTTAGCTGGATGCAGAACTCAATTTTAAGTAAATAGAAATAACTTGTATTGCTAGCATTATAGCAGAGGTGAAAACAAGAGATGTACACCATTTAAGTAAAGCACTGCTGATACTATAATTATTTCAAATTACAATTAAAATCAACAAACTAGTAGTACCATCATGAAAAACAGTCTAGGAGAAGAATATATGTCAAATTAGGAAGAACTAATGCACATGTAACTATAATTGTTAATTGCACAGAAGTCACACCTAATGTTTCTGTTTATAAAATATAATTATGAATTCATTCTATGAATAAAGCTAGAACACTTGCTGTTCTTGCCTACAAACAAACAAATTGCCTACATTCCTCTATTACTAAGGCTGTGTTTAGATCCAAAATTTGGATCCAAACTTCAGTCCTTTTCCATCACATCAACATGTCATACACACACAACTTTTCAGTCACATCATCTCCAATTTCAACCAAAATCCAAACTTTGGATCCAACTAAACACAGCCTAATGCTAATGAAAGTGCCATAGCTACCACAAAAATAAATTGTCAGGACCATATCAAACATTTCAGGTTGAGGGCAGCATAGAAATAATCAGTATCCACCTAGCAAACTTTGCAGCTTTTATTAGTTTCGAAGAGGACAATACAACCAACACTTTAACCTGGCAAGATTTAACATTTAACCTAGCACATAATTCAATATGTTTCACAAATCATATGCAAATGTTTACATTAGGAGATTGGAGAATACCTGTTGTGACTATTTTCGACGATTGATGAGTCCCAAGTGAACTGGAACAAATAACAGAGTGGCTGGGCAGATCAGGTGGAGAGATGTACTCATGGAGGAGCTTGGCATTAAGATGTTCAGTGGTGGGGAGGATTGACATTTGGGAGCCCTGAGGAGACCATGTAGGCCATTCGATGCAGCCCCTAGTTGTCACCTCCGGTGATAAACTGCGGCTGCGAGACATGGCGGTGAATCAACACTCCTCTCATCTCTCAACCTCATGATTTATACTGATTTGGGGCGAAATATGTGGGGGTAGCAGAGGGGATCTCGGATTTGGAATCAAAAACTGTTGATTCATATTGATTTGGGGCGAAATATCTTTGGGGAAAAGAGGGGATTTCGGAATTGGAAGGGAGCAGTGGATTGGAGGGGATCTGATAGACTTTTCCTATGCCAATGATGGGGATTCTTCCTCCCGCTGTTCCGCTACCTCCTTTGTGTGGCAAAGAGCAGCAAAGAGCAAAGTTATAGGGAGCATGGGCAGCAGCTGCAGGCTTGCAGCTGTGGAGCGAATCGAAGGCGGTGGCCGAAGCCGAGGGCGGCGGCGGCGGCAGTGGCCGGAGAGCTGAGGACACAGGTCGCTGAGTAATAACGACCATTTGCAATTGCCCATCCAACCTGAGTAAATAACAACAACGACCGCAGCCCACTACGCATTAGTGACCACAAAAAACTAGCGTCGTCGGATACCAGAAATCGGCCCAAAGCAGTATCAACGACCAAGATTATGCAGCCGTCGTTAGTTTTTGGTCGTTGACATTCACTATTCTAGTAGTGGGGGATCGATGTCGATTACTCCAACGAAACGATCCGAAGTCAACGTCGCTCCTTGTTCCTTGTCTGTCTCCTCGAGAGAGGTTCCTGACTGTTGGACCTTGGGAAGCGTCGTCTTCATGGCGCGGAGAAAGACCTTGCAGCTTGAGAAGTCGTGATTCTTCGTCTTGTGAATAGGACAATAGACATCACGAGTTAGAGAAGTACGCAGGATTCCACGCTCTTTGCAAGCACAGATTTCAGCTTGTACGTTGAGAAAAACCCAGCAAACTTGCAAGTTGTGCTTCCTGGACTTGTGGATAGGACACCAGGACTTGGTGACCTCGGAAGTTGTCCTCGTCGGCTCGCAGTCCTTGTCGGAAGGACAAGGCTCGGCTGTGCTAGGAATCTTCTCGGGCTCGTATGACGTTGATGTTTCGTTCTCCGCCCTGGCAGGAGGATCCTTCGACATGGGACCGTCCGGGTTTATAGCCACGGCGTTCTCATTTCCGGTTATTGATGGACCAGCCGAGATTGGCACCGTGGTGTAAACCGGGAAGACGATTTCATCGACTTGAGTCCACACCAGCATTGTTGAAGCAGGGATTCCTTGGATGGGGCCGGTGTTGACTCTATTGTCGACGAAGCTCGATGTCATAGTAGTAGAACCTTGAGCACCAAGTGCCCCTACCTGGCGCGCCACTATCGACGGTGAGTACCCGTAGACCGGATATAGAGGGTATTGGGGTACGTTGGTACGAGGATCTACGTAATACGACATCAAGGAAACAAGAGACAAAGATTATACTGGTTCAGGCCCCTTAGCGGGTAATAGCCCTAATCCAGTTGATATGGGATTATATGGAAAGAACCACAGATTACAAAGGGAGTAGTAGAACTCGGCGGTACCGATGAGACCGTAGTCAAGTTGATTCGACTAGATCACCCGGCGACTTGGCTCCTGTAGTCTCCGACTTCGTAGGCTATGGTCGTTGTGTAGGCTCTAAGATTCGATCCCTTAAGTTCCCTCGGGGGGTCCCTTTTATAACGCAGGTCAAACGGTCTCCAAGTAGGACTCGGAGACACCGGACCCTGCACGATATAGTAACGACCCAGTCCTATACGTGTAGTAACCTTTCCATTAGCAGACTTCGTGATGGATTTCCTTATCGTGTTCAGAGAATGTCCGTATATGCACCGATATA